GAACTCCTCATTGGCAGCTAAGTTCAGCCTCCATGTTTCATCTGCTTCTGTGTGGTGTTTATCCCAAGATGCTTGATGACTTCTGCTTCTTGGAGAAAGAAGTGTTCTGGTACTCAACTTCTTGTACCTGTCTGAAGGAACAAACCCCTAGCAGGGTGTTGTAGAAAATACATCTTCCACACAGCATGCTGTAGTCTAGACTTAAAAAGTGCTATTGAAATACTGCTTTGTCTTCTGTAGTAGCTCTTGGTAGCTTTTTTAATATGTGAAAGGTATGTATAAGAAAAGCTACAATGACGCTACATTTAATTTTGAAATGAAAGCTTGGATTTTCTTTTTTATTTTCTTTGCCTTTTATAAGTATGGAGTTTAACGTGCATATTTTTTTTTCTAGCAAATTCTGGAAGAAGCTGATTTCAAAGGAGAAGATTTTAATCTGTTTCAGGTAGCAGGTCAGAAATGTTTAGAAGATGGGTATGCAGCTCAGTTATTGGAAGTAATTCAAAATGAGAAAAATAAGGTGAGTTTGAGTTCGCACTGTATGTTAGTTGTATACCAACATGGTTAAATAGGTAAAACTGCTTGTTTAAAAGGGAAAACTTTCACTGTAGAGCAAGGTTGTACATACAAATAGTTAATAAGTTGCTCTGTATTCAGTGCATATTCTTGTGTAACTTCAGGTAGCTCACAGAAACCAAGTCATGGTAATCTTAAAACCATTAATAACTGTTTTTCAGTGGGTTGAGCAAAGAGAAGGCAAAGGCATAATATAGAGAAAGTGACAGTGGCCTCTTTTGCAGGACAGGGTTTCAGATGGTGTAGCATAACATAGAGAAAGTGACAGTGGCCCTCTTTTGCAGGACAGGGTTTCAGATGGTGTACTGGGTCTAGCTGCCATGGGGTTGATTTTCTTCACGGCAGCCCAGCGTGGTGCTGTGTTTTAGGTTTGTGATCTAAACAGCGTTGGTAACATGCCAGTGTTTCAGCTATTGCTTATCGGTGCTTATCCAGTGCCAAGGCCTCCTCCGTTTCTCACTCTGCCCCCTCAGTAAGGAGGGAAGTTGGGAGGAGACACCGCTGAGCCAGCTGACTCGAATGAATGCACGAGATATTCCGTACCATGTAACATCACGCTCAGCGATAAAAACACATGGGGATGGGGACCCATTCCAAAGTAGCTGTTGCTTGGAGACTGGCTGGGCATTGGTCTGCCAGTGGGAGCTGGTTTGCATCATTCCCTCCCCTGCTCTCTTTTGTCCTTCACTTATTAAATTGTCCTTATCTCGACCCATGAGTTATTCTCTGTTTTGCTGCTCTGAATCTCTCCCCCATCCCGCTGGGGAGAGGAGAGCGAGCGAGCGAGCAGCTGGTGGGTGCTTAGCTGCTGTCTGGGGTCAACCCACCACAGATAGATATAATAATATTGGCAAAACTAAAAGTCAGCTAGGCTGATGCTAATGTAGGAGGTGCCAATGTCTGTTGGCACTTTGAGGAGCTGGGAGAATGTGCTAAATTGTACACAGATAAATGGGAAGTTCAGAAAGGAAGTGGAGGATGGAGTGTTTTGGCCATGTTACGTGGGGTTTGCAGTCTGGTTTTGAATTTTGTGAGTTTGGACTAATAACTGAAGATCTTGATCCCCTCAGGTTAAACATAATTTATCTAAGTGTTCATTCTTTCAGCAAAACTCCTCTGCTCAGTCCTGCTTTAAATTTATTGTTATATAAATTCCCAGAAATGTATATTGATGTGTTAGAATTGATACATTGAAGAAAACTACAAAATATGCAGCTGTGTTTGCAGTTACAGGGAGAGAGTACAATGTATGTGAAGTACAGAACTTCATGGTAATAGTTGTTAAATTTTCAGTGATGTTATAGTGTTGGTTACAGCCAGGACGTTGGTCTGTTGTCTTTTTTAGCCTTCATATATACAATCTTTCTGGGTTTAGAAGATATCCAGTTTTGGTTTATTCTCTGAAAATCTGGTTTTTAGGTTATCATCAAGAATATGGGTTGGAATCTCATTTCTCCTCTTGTTAGATGTATTTTCATGTATAAACAGGAAGATGATAAGTATGAACACTGCCTGAAGATACTGTATCAGTTGGCACAGGTATGTTTTTGGAATATATGGTTATAATACAATAATTGTAGCGAAGGGAGAGGTCCTAATTTCCCCCCTGATTTCCAAAGAAAACAAGGCATGAATAGTTCTGGGTTCTTCTGTCCATTTGCTGTCACTTTTAAACCAGTTTCATCTGAAGTAGATGCAGGTTTAGTGTTCTGAGATAATTTACCTCTTACAAATCTTGTGAAATTAGTACCTGGGCAAAACAGAGACCGAGCACTACCTAGAAGAAAAAGGCAGATAGAACTCATAAAGTTTTTGATAGCCAGCTGCTGCAGTCAGAGCAGCCGCAGCGATACGGCCTCTTGTCTAATGCAGGTATAGTACGACAGTGATTACCTGGTGGTTCTGATGGCGTAATAGGGGAAAAAGTTGTAATCCGTTAGAAAACTAGTTCCCTTTCATTCAGGTACTTGAAGAACAACTGCAAACTTTATAGCTTGAGTTAAATTCCACTGAAGTTTTTCTTTTCTCTCTACTCCTAAGGGTTACTTGGCTAAGGTACCATGAGGTAGACCATAGAAGTCAAGTTTAGCCTAATTATTTATTATTATATGTTTTCAGCTTATATGAAAGTGTACACACATATGCACTCTACAGAAGACATTCATTGAAGGGAAGTACTTAGTGTTTCCTATTTGTTCCCTTAAAGATTATCTTGGATGTTCAGATCTTCTTTCTTGACATTCAGGAACTTCTGTATTGGAAGTTTGCTGGTGATTGATTTTTTTAGCTCATGGTCATGGTTATTAAAAAAATACGCCTTGTTCCTCTCTTGCAGCTATGCAATCCGAAGGAACTTTTTTTGGGTTTACTTGAGCAGATTGAGCAGACCTCTGGAGAGCGAGTGTGCCAAACTGTCATGCTATTGCTTCAGCCGTTGCAGACAGGTAAGATTCATTTTCTTATGTGATTTCTGAATTAAATTATTTTCTCATTTATTTATCAATTTGGTTTAGCCTTTGCTGGAATCGTTTCAGAATATGTCTGTCCTGACAGGCTTTAGAGTCTTACTATATTCTGCAAAGTAACACAGGGTATAACTTTCATGCTTATATTGTCCTCTTAGAAAAAGATTTTAGATGGGATTAATAGCATCAGTTGAAAAAGCGATATTCAGCTATTTTTCATCATTTTTTCATCATTTACAAGAATGTGGTCCTATGACTGTTACATTTAGAGGTGTAAACCATTCATGCTGTTGTTACAGAAACTGAGAATTACATGGATTTGTGAAATTCTTCATTATTTAACTTTTAAAACATGCAATTCCATGTTCTCATAGTGTAGGTATAGCTAAGATTGAAGCAGGCAGAAGTATTTGATTGGTGGGGGGGGAAGCCTTTTTCTGGCTCACCTATAAAAACTAACAATGTTGATTTTGGACACCCACTAAGTGGGTAACAAGTGGTGTTTTGATATGTGAGATGAAATCAAGTCTTGTGTATCAAGTTTAAGTCTGATTGTAGAAGTCTCTGGGATGTGTTCTTGAATTATGCTAGAATTTAACAAGAGAAGCGTTTTGGTAATTAGAAGTATGTGGGTTTTTGGATAGCCAACATGCAGTTAGCCTGCGCTGAGAGCAGTTTAAGTGGAGAGCCACTTGTGCTGCTTCCTCAGTCTGGGAGCCCCTCTGTTGGTTCTACCATCGAGTAGAGGACAGTTCTGAGCTGCTTTGGGTAGAGTCACATCTCAGCAGAAAGGCTGGGCCGTTGTCTCAGGTTTTGCCAAGCACAGGAGGACTCAAGCAATAAATGAGTTGTCCAGGTCAGAAAAATGAGTGTTATTTCATTTAGACTGGTTGTAGAAAGACAAAGTTTTTCAGGCCTCATCATGGTGGTACAGAGAAAGGAAAAATGTGTTGAAAGTCACGACAGCTTTAATATTTGTCATTCTCACGTGTATAGTCATCTTAACTACAGCAACCTAAACTAGCTGATGATCTTCAGTCTCGCTGGGTTTGCTCATGGGACTTCAACTATCAGTCCCTCTCCTTCCCAGAAACTAAAGGCTTTCTTATGTAGTCACATTGTTTTTCTTCATGTTTTCTACTAAGTTGGCAATAATGTCTCAAAATGTTATCTCTCTTTTTTTTTTTTTCCTTTCCCCCAGTGCTTTTGAAACTTCAGAACAAGAAGGCCTACTCAGTGGGTTTATCTTTGGCCATGATTATGAATCAGCTTACTCCCTTACCTGTACCTTATACAAAACAACAAATACAAGAAGATAAACTTGGTCTCTGTCAATGTTGTAATGCAGTGGTGGACTTCGCTAAACCTTTTGTGAATGAAGTCGTTAAAAACATGGAAAAATCATCAGAGTACAATGACATGGAGCTGAAAGAAGAGTTATTAAAATTGTGAGCATTTTATGTCAGCGTAATACATTCCTATAGCATAACAAAATGAATAGTAGGCATTTGTTACATAGGCAGTAAATAAATCATCGTGTTAGTGTTTTATAATGCTGATAGTTTATATTAGCTAATATGGTATTTCACAAAAGAAAAAACCCACCCCTAAATATGCCTTGTATATTTATGAAGTGAGAGAAGAAGGGTAAAAATAATTTTTTTTTTTTTTTTAGTGGTAAAGAAATATTAGTCTCTGTGCTGTGGTGCTGATTGGGTATTCCTCTGCTTCTCAGATTTACAGCAATGAGGATAATCACGTTCTGGAGGTGAAATCTAAGGAGACTTTTTTTTTTTTTCCCATTCTCCTTGGAGTACCAGGTGTAGCAGCAGCTAAAATGCGTATAGACTTTATTCTTGGTCATCAGTGACACTACTACAGTCTGTGTTTGTGACCGTGTTGGTGATTTGGTTTCACCCCTTTTTATTTCAGCTGTATGAAAAGCCTGAAATACCCATTATTGACAGCTCAGCTTGAACAACTTGAAGGCATTGAAGAACATCCCTTTCGTCATTTTGCAACTGAAATTGTAGTAAGTGCAGTCAAAATCAATTACGTTGTTTACAAAACCAGTGTTCTAGTTCAGCATTGCCTAGAATTCGTTCTAGAGCTTGTTTTGCTTCCTTTGTTGGTTAGTGGGATGACTTGATAGGCCTTGCAAGATAATGCAGGTAGGTAAAGGTCTAGAACAGTTCAAGGTCCCGTCTCTGGAAATTACAAATCTTGCAGACCCAGTTTTGCTCCATGATAAACCAGTATGAACTGCTTTCTGAATCAGCAGCTGCTACTTTGCTGTAGCTGCTTCTTTTTCTTGGTGACGTATGAATTTATTAGAATATCTAAAGGATCATCTTTGCTGCATTATTATGTCAAGGTAGAATCTACATGTTACCTATAATCCAAGCGTTGGCACAGAGAGAAATCTTTTAATATGCTTAGTGCAGTGCCAGCTGACTATGAAAGAACATAAATTGATGCTTGACTGCTGCTGATGCTGTAGCTGGATATTCAGCGGGAATGTGTCCGCTCCATGCCACCAGTGCAGTTACTCTAGTTTTGGATGTTTGACATAGCAGCTGCGTTTTATTAGAGCAAGATTATTGTGGCTATAGATAATTTTATCTAAATTTGCATCAAAACCAAGCCTTATAAGGAGATAGTCGGGTACAGTCCATGCTTGTGTTGGAACACACGTGCATGTATGTTTTCACAAATAGGATTAGGTGTGATTAATAAAGTCACAGCAAGTAGAGCTGTGCTTTGTTCTTGTTTTGAATGTGGTAAAGAGTATTTCCTCTCTTGCACATAACCAAATGTAGTGGCTTGACCCCAGCTGGCAGCTAAGCCCCCACCCAGTCACTCACTTCGGCTCCCCAGTGGAATGAGGGTGAGAATCTGAAGGGCAAAAGCAAAAAAAACTCCTGGGTTGAGAAAAAGACCATTTAATAAGTGAAGGGAAAAAACCCTTGAGTGATACAACGGCAGTCACTCGCCACCTCCCACCAGCAGACTGGTGCCCAGCCAGTCTCTGAACAGCAGTTAATCTGAAAAATATTACTTCCCTCTCCTCCCTCCTGTGCACACCCCCCCCAGTTTGTTGCTGAGCATGATGTTATACGGTATGGAATAACTCTCTGGTCAGTTTGGGGCAGCTGTGTCGCTGCTGTGGTCCCTCCCAGATTCTTTGGGGCAGAGTGAGAAGCAGAAGGCCTTGACACCGTACAAGCACTTTCCAGCAATAGCTGGTGCTGGGGTGTTACCAACACTGTTCTGGTCACAAATCTGAAACACAGCACCGTGTGGGCTGCCGTGAAGAAAACCAATTCCGTGCCAGCCAGACCCAGTACCACCAAGGTTAAAATATCTGTAAACATCAGTTGTTTCTAATTTTCAAATGCATGGTTATACAGTGGTTTGTGTTGGGCTGATGAAATGAAGGAACCTTGACAGCCAGGTGCTGGATTATTTTATAACAGTTTATTCAGAAGCAGGCTGGTAAATCTTGTAATGAAATAGAAGAGTGGAAAATATTCTCACTACTAAGTGGAGTCTTCCCTCAGGGTAGCCAGAGGGCCCCTAGTTGGGTGATGCTGCATAGGCAGTAGCAGCTCATTTGTATCAAGATTGCAGCTAAGTCTTCAACTCTTCTAAACCAAGCTGGCGTTTTGAGCAGTATAGGAGAACTGAGCATTAAGTGACCATTAGCTGGTTATTAATATTTACAGTTAACAAAAATACAATATTGGCTTTTTTTCTGTAAGTTGTTTTCTTAACTATGGATACGCTTGGTTTTCATCTTAATGTCGACTGTATGAAAGAATAGTTAAGTTTGAGCTTTGGACTTTGTTCTACCTTGTTATCCCTGGTTAGAGGAGAAGAATTCACAAGTCAAATATAGAAAGACAAAAGTCATTCCGAAGAATGCCTGGAGCTATGTAAGAGGGAAATGGAAATTACCAAGAAGGTGGAGTGGGGGTGAAGCTGGCTGAAGGACTGAGGACATCTAGCTGTTGGAGGAAGATCACTAAAATGGCTGTGAACTATGAACTAGCGAGTTAAAGACAGACAGCTTTTTGTATGATACAACAGAGGAACTAGTCCTAGAAGAGCAGAGAGACTGGGTCAGTGTGTCATTTTGGGGGAGGGAATGGCACACTAAGACTTGATGAGTCTCAAAAGGAAGACTTGGAGCCAGCTGGAATGAGGAAAGCACACCTAAATGTACTATATGTATGCAAATGTGCATACACGTAGAGGAAATCTGGAAGTTGCTGTGTGATTAAACTCTTTCTTTTCCAATTTGTGTTAAAAAATCTAAGCATTTTCGCACACAGAATTCTATATCCAAATGTTAAGATTGTAAAGTGAAGCACACCAAGCGGTTAGCGAAACTTTTGGTTGTTTTTCAACAATAGTTAAGGTTTTCTGTCATGATCACTTTCCTTTTTTTTCCACAGCATGTCTCAGCGTAGGATGGAACTGCTGTGTGAATCGATCAGGGGTTGTGCAATGAAAGAGAATCTTGTCTCTGGGACAGGATTTATTGCAGGACTTTGAGGGTGTGCAGTGAAGCAGGGATTACCAGATCTCATGGTTAAGATAGTGGAAGGGTGCTCTGAAAAACTGGCTTTTTATCCTGCCTTTCCTGTTGGGCACAGTCTAAAATCATGGTTTTTGTCCTAATTGTGAATTACCTTTTCTTCATTTTCTCAAGAAATTCACTTCTGCTGTTTGTGGAATTGGGTAATGAGAGCTGCAGCTGAGGCCAGTAAAGTCATGCTTTGACTATGTGACATCTTGTGTAAGCCTAATTTTCCAAAATGTGAGATCCCAAATGTTCAGTTTGGACAACCCCGGAATAGTGAGTTGACCTCGATTTTGCAGTTTCTTCATAATATGTACGATAGGAGTCACGCTGCCTCCTGATCCACGTGGATGTGTGTGTGTGTGTGTGTGTGTAACCACACTAGTTATCTGCCAAGTCCTCCGGTGTCATTGTGTTGTCCATCACGGGGAAGAAAGGCCATACAGAGCGATTCTGACGTTAAGGCAGAGCTTGCCTTTAGCTGATGAACACCATGTTGCATATTGGTTACTGAGCAGAAAACAAAATACGGAGTGGTCTGTGATCTGAAGAACACAGGGGTCCTGTGGCGTAACGTGGTCATGAAGCTACCGTATTCCTAGCCGTGTGGGTAAGGGAGCCGAACTGGGGTTTTGCAGGGTGACTTTGGTTTGTCTTTTGCTAACTTTTGGGTGCTTGACTTCGCTGTCTTGGTAACATTCTTCTAATAGTAGTTATTTTTTTCTGCAGGGTCTTTTTTCTGTATGTGTATTTATCATAAATGCTCACAAAATATTTATATTAATTTATGCTTATGCTATCTAAGAGAGTTACTGTAAATATAGTGAAAGCTTTGAAACTTAATTGGTATACAGGTCTTCTAAAGGCACCTATAGGCAATCTGTCTTTCTTTTTTAGAACATTTTGTGGGATATAAGAGAATTGATACCATTAGTGTTTTTACATCGTAAAGGCAAAAGTCCACACTGGGAGAATGAGGAGTTTGCAGACATAGAGCGAAAGGATTCTGCAGATTCTTTGGCATGTCTGTCATATCTGATGTTTGTTCAGCATTTTGGTATGGATTGCTTTCCAGTGGTATTTAGGTAAGAACTATTCTTCCTCATTCATCCTAGGTCTGTACTTTGAAGATTCTTTCTGAGCAGAAAACTTTATTTGTGAATAGTTGTGAATGAAATCTGTGCCTTTCACTAGTTTTGTTTCATGGCAACCTTTATACGTTGGTATTTTGTATAGCTTATAGTGTATACGTAAGAACATCCTCCAGTCCTGCAGATTACTCTGTTATGATTTAATTTTAGACGAGCTGTCCTATTGAAGAAACTGGTAGGGTTAGTCACATGCTGAAAATTAACATGTATCAAATTTTTTAGATAGTTTTCACGTAAGAGTTATTAACAGCGATTTGACTTAATATTTTGTATCTATTTAAAAATTATTATTTTCATAAAGATATTTTAATTTTCAAAAAAGACTAATCTTGAAAAATATGTTAACTATGTGCAGATCTATCTGGCTTATGCAGTTTAACGTAAACCTAATTTTTCTCTTCTAGTCCATCATACCTTCTGCAGTGCAATATGACGCATATTGAAGTGCTACTGAAAAGGTAGTTTATGGTATTTGGAGTTCTAGATAGTGGGTGTGATCTTTTGTAGTAATTCATAGAATCAAGTTTTGAATATACCAGAGAAGTTCAGAGGAAGTTTTTAAACCTGAGAGTTAAAAAATAGCAAGTTCCACAACAAGATGGCTTCTTTTACAAACAAGTATAAAAAAATCATCTAAACCCTTTTATTTATTGTTTTTGGCATGTATTGTGGTATCATTTTTGGAACCTTTATTCTGAAAGTGCAAAACTAAGGTCTTTTAAACACATGCAGAATAATTAGAGTGTACATTTACTTGCACTTCTGTAACGATTAGTTTACTACTAGAGACTGTTGTGGTAGTATTTATGTGAATGTATTGCCATACGATAGGCAATCCCATTAGAGGTCAGGCTGTCTAAAGGAAACCAGACTTTTCTATATACTATGATTATTTCACCCTCCATAAGCAGCAGTGTTGACCAAATAGTTTCTAGCACTGCTAGAGAAGGGAAGTTTCCCATTATGACTGCTCACCATTTGCTGGTGAAATTTAAACAAACCTTCCTGCTCTCTTTGGTTTAGGATCTGCTTGTGTTTTTCTTAGGCTTGCAGAAGTGTGCAAATGGGATCATCTGGGAAAAGTTTCAGTTTCTTTGTTTATCGGTGTCTTGATACCCGTAGGTGTGAGATGCTGCTTTTGAGTGTTTCTAAAAATTGAGGGGGAAAAAAAGTCGGGTTTGACCCTGAAGAGAGCATTCCAGTTTTCAACTTTTTGTCAGCCAGTTTATTCTAAAAGTCTTTCAGGGGAATAACGAAGATGTTACATTTAGAAAACAGAATGGAAGTTGTTGAAGGACAAGTTCTTTTTGATCTCTGTGGCAGTATTTCTTCTGAAATACCAACAGTATCTTTTTAATTAACAACTTAAATTTGATAGTGTTTCTTTTTTTTTTTTTTCCTAGAACAGAAGAATCTGTGTTATCTAAAGGACTTGTAAGTTTTCTTTTAATCAAATTTTCAATGTTAGAATGTTTATTTTTTCCAATTTAAGTAAATTGGAAACTTTAGTTTCCCTTTCTAAGAAAGGTACAAATGATAGATCAGATAAGATTTCAGAAATATTTTGAGATTTAGTTAGATATTCTTCAGTCTTACATACACTTGTACTTATTGAACTTTACACACATGCATAAACGTTTAAATTACCTTTAGCACTTCTATTTGTAGCCCCTAGGAGCTTTGGCTATCCGAATGAGCGATTACAGTGAGGGTGGTTTTAGCTCTGAAGCGTTAAGCATACGTAATGTAATGTCTTCTATTGTAACATCATATATGTGCAAAATGTTGGCAGCTTTTTTCTT